TTCTAGTCTAAATGTCCTATTATGAGAATGGATGAGATTCATAGCAGCTTATTTAAAGGTTTATCATACGATCAGATGGCCAGCTCAGTTGTAGCATAGTTTAAGTAGTAATAATGATTTGAGTTTGAGCAATATTTTAGTTTTTCGGGACATGCAGAATACCCATTAATTTCTGGAGATTATGTGCTTCCTCATTTTTTGCATTCCTTCTCACATCTCACTGTGGTGGATCTTGGACCGGCTCATATTTATCTATGTGTCTGTGTCGGACTTTGATTTTTGCTCAGTTTGCAATGAATGTTTTACAGCAGGCTGTGGGAATGATTCTACGTTCCCAAGACAAAAAGTCTTAAATCATTTCTGACATAATGTACCCGCCAGTACGTAGTCAGTTTTAGGTAAACAGTAAACAGCTGTCTGATGCATCCCAGCAGCTGGGATGTCTACACCACTCCAGCCTATTCAATTTAAGTGCAGCCAATTAATGACAGATTTTGTCTTTAAAATGGGATTAATAAATATGGTGAATGTAATTTGGGGTGCCCAGTCCAAAGTCATTATATCTATACAATTAAAACCACGAAATGCTGCTAAAGTCAACCTGTGCACACAAAAGATCAAGTTACCAATTTTGTTTGATATTGCTGAATAATATATAATAATAAATAATGTGCCAAAACACCTTGTAAAACCACAACGTGTCACTTTTTAATTCACTAATTAACACACCTCTTGTGTAATCCGTACAAAAACCACAGTGTAAAAAGACATGTTGTGGTTTTACAGGGGATTATGCACCAGACTGTTTCTTGGCCAAGAGAAGTAACTCCCTAGAGTCTTGTCATCACAGTGATGTTGCCAGGCAAACAGCGGAGACTCCTGGATAGGCATATGGCCAAAAACATATTCATACATAACTTAACGCATAAATCACTTCCATCTTCTGTACAGATTAAACGAACGTGATATAATGTGTTATTTTGTGAGCTTTTCCAAAATGCCAAACTGTTTCTTTAAGAACATAAACTTTAAATTACGTTGTAAGGAGAGAGACAACATAAGTAATTGAAAAAGGAAAAGCTCAAACTGAAGCCCTGACACAGAATGTATCATACATATTTAGAAAAGCCTCTGGTGGCCCATCTATGGTTTTAATAAACAGGAAAAACCCTGACCTGGTCTCTTTGTTCTGACCATTAAAGAAGACCAGACGATACATATCTGAAATGAAGTGTGACATTTTAAGACCATTGAGGGCTTGCACGCCCGGAAGACGCCGGGTCTTCTTCACTTGAGTGGAGCAAAAACCAAAAAAAGACTGCAGAGAGCCCGACCCGTCTCACCAGAGGAGGTGTGGAGCAGAGAGACTGGCTTGTTTAGCAGGGAAAAAAAATTGGCCGGGGCCACCGTCCCCAGTGCCTTATAAGGCAGTATTTCTATCCAGCTAGCACATTGAAGTTGCTGCTTGGCTGAGAGCAACTCAACTGCACTCCAGAGACAAAGTGGACACTACGATTCAGAGTAAAGACAGAGAACAAGACACACCTCTCTAAAGAACTATACATTAAAAGGAAGAAGTTCTAGTGGGTGGGTGGGCAGAGAAGATTGGGAAAAGAAGAAGCTGGGTGAGGAGAAGAGTGATAAACATTAGGTGGGAGGACAAAATAGGGAGAAAGGAGCAAACAGAGAATATGCGAATGAAGATGGATGAGAGAAACAAACAGAATCACCCACACGAGGGAAACAAAACAAGTGTGTTTTGTTATTAAATGGCTTTGTCACCTAATGCTGAGTAAGGGGAGGGTTTTACTGAATGAACAGGAAAGAGATAGCCATGCACTGCCCCCAGCAGATGATCTGGAAGACATCAGACCAACTCTTAGCTATCCATACCTCATTTCGTTTACACATCAGTGCTGTGCATAAAGTTTTCTGGCAACACCAGGTCCGCAGCCGAATCGAAAAGGCCTTGGACTGGAGCTACAGTTAAAATACCTGCAGTGTGTTTAACAAGCCTGAGAGGAGGGGCGGTGCTCCAGGCTGGGAGAGAAGCAGCGCCAGAGAAAAAGAGATAAGGCTGAAAAGTGAAAGGGGAAAGTGCAGTCATTCGCAGGGACTTTGAGCCCCATAGATAGCTGCCAACTATTTACTCAGTGAGGTCATTTCCTTTAGGACGGTAGGAAAGGCAACTTATGTGACTTGCAATCAAGTGTCCTTATTTTTCCCTTTATCTCAGAAAATGCCCTTTCTTTTGCTTGCCCTCAGCAATCATTCCCAGTACTTGGGAGCTGCCAAGTCCAGTACTTCAGTCGGCAGCGGTGTTCTGCCAAATAATGATCACTACAGTTTGCACAAGGGGAAGGTTGCTGAGACTTCAGGTTACATTCGATCGAATGCTGATAGAGGCAATATCGCTTTTTACAGTTTATATACGCACAGTGTATGGGGCCACTGAAGCACCAATTGTATGATTTTTTTTTGCTAGGTATTCTGTTCCTTTTGGAACCAGGTGTGAATGAAGGGCTCATTACCGATGACAGGGATCTCAGGTACCTAATTATAATGTGAGAGTACAATACTTTATTTCCCGGCTTATAAAGGGTCAGATGTCTTTTAGGGAGGTCACCGAGTCTACTTGACAGATGCTGCGGATTCCTCCCTGTCAGCTTTCCGTATCCTCAGCGTAGTCAGCCCACTGCTTCTTCCTAAATACATAGGAAGTCAACTAAAATGTACAAACCTGAAATTAATTAGAGATTCTTTTACTAAGCTGTTATTTAGAAGACTATAAAACAGTCAACAAAGCAACTTCCTCTGGAGTTTTTTTTGTTGTTGCTGTTGCTATGCACAATAGCAGGGGACTTGTGATTCATTGTTTACCGAATATGAGCCTGTGAGCCATTATTAAGGCATTTAAAGTACGCATGTTTTTATTCCACCTGCAAAAAAGGACATTTCAGAGCGCTTAGTGGTTTGTGTGTGTTTGAATCCCACCGTTAGCAGCAAAACTTCTTGATCCTAGCGACAGCGCCAAGGTTGCTAAAAATGGAAAACTGCAGCCTGTTCTCTCCTACGCATGCTTCCCACTCAACTTTTGTCTCCAACACTCAACACCTCTATCTCTCTGGCTCGCGTGCAGGAAGTAAACACCACCGGTGTTCAAGCAAGTATGCTGGCTAAACGTTTTGAGCAAAGAGGAACAGACCAGGAGGGCCTCAAGTAGTGCGGAGGGAGAACAGGGGAGGGTATGTGCAAGGGGCCCCCCAACTTAGATGGGGCCCATTAAAAGGGGTGAGGTGATGCTTTTTAAGATAGACCCGACAGCGTGTTTGCTCTCTGTCAAATCCAGTTAGCAGGCACAGAAATTCAAACACCACCACTGAAACGGATGTAACTTTATGGCTAAAGTAGTTACTGTGACACAGTGCTGGCTCTGAATTATAGTTAGAGGTGAGGGTTTGAAAATAATGTCTTTGTGTCCAGACATTGGACATATGGTGCCATAAAGTAAGGCCTAACATTAGGGACTCCAGCTTTTTCCGGTCAGAGGATTCAAAGCGCTTTCCCTCCATTTCAGATTTGTTAGTTCCTGTGGAGAAATGTCCATACACAGAATTTATTTATGAAAGTTGAGGTCATCACAAAGCTCGCCAAAAGCATCTGTCAAGGGATACACCCCTTGGGCTTCTCCACCAGACCCAGTTCAGAGTATTACTATTGAAGTCTTGTCTCCACTGCAAAGTATTGACCATTTGCCGAACAAATTCTATCAGTAGAGGACATTTCAAATACTGATTTCTTCTTTTGACTTTGGATAAGGCCCCACATCCATTAACAGTACCGGTTCATCCATAACCTGATAATCAGACTGGTCCATCTTGTGACGGTCAAAATGTTTTTTAAAAAGTTAATCATGACGCATGATGGGCTGCATAAATTAAAGTGATTTAATCTTCAAAGTGTAAACAAAGGGACATGAAACTATGCTGCTTAAAACTGGAAAGTCTATGGAAAATGTTCTGACCACTTCACCTCTGAGGAAACAGCGCTGGAAACGTACCAGCTCACCTCCCAGAAATATATGTGGGAAAGCAAAATAGAAACATATTGTGGAAATGACTATGATTCACTTGCTGTGTACAAGTGATCATCAGTCATACATGGGTTTTAAGTTAAGAGATTGAATATACAGGCAACTTACTGATGGTTGGGGTTTGTTTCACATGCAGTATAATTTGTTTCAGGTGTTTTCCATCATAGCAATAGATCATGCCAACCAGAGCATGTTCTGTAGTTTAGTTTTTATTATTATTATTATTTTTTTAACAGTTGTTATTTTTGCTGGGAATAAAGCTGCAGTCCAAATAGTATCATAGTGGTTTCCAGATAAGTTTGGGAATGGGTGGACAATATCTCCCCAATCACCTATCAGTGCAGGAAGACCAGAATGTGTGTGTAGATCTAGTGGGTAGTATCCTGGTCTGGTGGGCCCAACTGTTATCCAGGAGGGAGTTTCAGCCGGAAATATTAGTCTCCATAAACACACCAAGTGGGACATTCTCTGTAGTTAATCCTAATCTGCAGACACGCTCCACAGAGCCCCAAACTGCACTGTCTGCACTCAGTCTTAACTATTAATCAGGCCTATAGTGGACCCGCCATGAGGATCTCATTTTGGCTGCTTTTTCTTAAAAATGTGCTATTGTGGCAAGGTGTCTGATTTCAGGACAGAATGGAAACTGTGCAGTGTCAAAACTGGTGGAGATGAGAGGAAATAATAATAAAGAACAGTGCAATGCAGCTTCACAGTTTGTCTAATGTAGAAGCCATGCTAACAGTGGCAGGTTACAATTTAGGTATGAAAAGAAGAAAAAGAAAGACATACATGTCAGTAGCACAACGTTACCTAACGAGAAGTGTGTGCATACGTGTCTTGCGTTTCAGCGGACAGACAACATGGCATCATTAATAATCTACGAGGTGTATCCCACTTGACTTACCAGCAAACTTTCCAGGTTTATGGCAGATCTGGGATCTCTGATCATGTCCTCCAGCTTCTTCAGCCGGGTTTCCATCCTCCTCTCAGCGCCGAGCGACATGACTGCAGCGGCGTCGGTCGTTAAAAGTTGAGCTAAATGTGAAGAGGTTTTGCAAACTGCGTGAGTTTACATGTGAAAGCTCTTTGTTCCTGGCTAATGGCCGTGGGCCTAGCGGAGCAGCCCTGGGCTCTCACAGCCCACCCAGATCGCTTCCAGCAGGAATAGTGTGCACAATGAAGAGAAAATATTCCCAAAGCAAAGAAGAGAGGGAACTTTATCAAGTGAGCGGGGCCTTCGGTTAGCTAGCAGCTTGGGATTTCAGCTAATAAAGATAACGTTACACTTGAATTATCACCTCCCGTTGAGTGAAGGATGCATTTTTCCAACTCGGCGATAAAGTTTGAATGTGGAGATACCAGCAACAGGCAGCAGGGCGTTTTCTTTGCCCCCCTCTCCTCCCCTTCCCTTTGGATTTTGGCCGCTTGAAAATGCTTTGGTGTCGCTTTTTAGAACAAATTCCGCTTCGTTTCACGCCATTCAATAATGCTCGGACCCCGTCAGTGCTGTAGTTTCTCCTCAGTGCTGCCGCAAGTCATCTGAAGGGGCCATAACGTCTGTTCTCCCGCGCTGAATTTTTAATAAGCACACACACTCTTCCTGGGTTTCTTCTCGCATTTTCGCACGTGTCCTCCTCGTCTTGTGCTTGTTATTGGCTCTATTCAGAGAGAAAAACAGGTAGTTTTATTCGTAGAGAAGAGTCTTCCAGCGGCCGAGTTCTTCGCCGTATACTCACATCTGTTACACACCAACACACACTGCCAGAGTCTAGTCTCTCTCCTCCCCCTGACATCACACACCCAAGACTCAGTTACCCATAAACCACCTGTCCTCCTGCACTTCTGTATTTCTGCCTGACCGTCTTTCGCTATTTTAAAACGAATAATTGGCTGGTAAATATAAACGTAAATGTTATAGTGATTTAAGTATAATGGCAGTCAAACATACAATTATCTGATTTGCTGTTAGTTCCACAACATTCCTACGACTGCATTTTAATATAGTATAATCACAAAGTAAATATCTACAAGCGTACCCCTGGGATTTGGAGAAAGAGTTCCAGCTGTTTCATATCACCACCAAAAATATAATTAGTTTTGCCATGCCCTACGACGTACCTGTCCACCATGTTTCTTTAAAAATCCATCAATGGACTTTTGCTTTATTCCCGCAGGCTGATCGACTAAAATAGTCAACTTTCTACTTGTAACTGATAAAATCATGGTTGGTAAACAACGAAGAATAATATACACCCTCAGGAGTCTCTGACAAAATAATTAATAGTTTGATTTCACTAGTATTAATTATGTGAGAACTGAAATTAACTTAATGTTCTTGGGGGCAGATATATTTAATCAACTGGATAGCAGGACAAATTCATCTTTGTCTAATCATTAAATAAATAAGTGATAAAGTGTGGGAGTCTGGGGTGTTGTAGTCAGAACATGTGATGTATTCTGTTTCACACAACAGAGGGAGCACTTGGACCACAGATGCATCCCTTCACCCTGCTCCAACTTAATGGTCATAACTATTATAATGAACAGTTGCATTTTTACAGTTGTATCATTTAGCTGCTGCCCCTTTCACTGATGTAGTAACAGTCATTCAACTAGCAGCCATTAACATTTACTTTTCAACAGACAGCTGGCTTGTTCTTTCCTGGGAAAAACATCTGCATCAGTGAGAGGAAGTGAGGCATTTGGCATTCTCTTAATTAGTTTGCATGAGTAGCAACAGCCAAAGTTGTGGAACACACAAACACACAAGCACCACCTACATAAACACAAAATCCAAAAGCAGAAAATTCCAAGGAAAACCCCTCAGAGCAGTTTGTTTGATAGGTGATATCTGGGAAATGTAGTGTGAGACTGCACAGTGGTGAACAGGTCAAAGAAACGGTACTTTTACCTCACATCTCATCTCTTCACTTATATAAAATAATGCTACCGATTAACTCTGATCTGAACTTTATTTATTTAAACATTTTTGATGCTGAGTAAAAATATGAAGTAAAGACAGGATATTGTAAAGTGTAGCCCGTGACCTATGAATCATGATCTTGCAAACCTATGTGTAGGTGAGCTGTACCACCAAGACAGTCGAATAGTCTGCTAATTTTAAACCATGTCAGCCTCCATTCTGCAGAAAATATAAATTCTCTGTTGTAAGCCATTGTGTGTTTGGCATTTAGCTATCCTTCTTTTCTTAGTATGTACAAAATGTGTGACAGGGATGCTATAATTTCACTGGTTATCAACCCAGATTGTTGATGAAGTTTAACTAAGTCAAGTTTAGAAATAACAAAATGTTTTGAAGGCATTGACAGTGATTGCAGCTTTAGGGGAGTTGTTTTGTCTTGTCAGACTGAGGGCACTGTTTTGTAATGTAGTCCTATAAATATTGTTTCTGGGTGTAACTAGGGAAAAATAATGTTGCACCTTTAGTAGCTATTGAGTCACATGCTGCCACATTCAAATATAGATTACAATATAAAACAAAATTAATAACAAAATTTGTCTCGGTGGGTCTTTTGACTGGTGATGCTATGAGAAAGTAGTAGTCATCACCAATATGATAATAATCACTACTTATAATATGTTGACGATAACAGAGCATATCATTGACCCAACAGGAAGCTAGTCTTCACAGTGCCTAGTAAATTAAATGACTGGATGTTCACAGAGCAGTTTCCAAAGCAGCAATCAGAAGTGAGAGAAAGAAACACACTCCACCCCTGCTGACTGTGCTCATGTACATGATCAAGTGATCATGATACTGGCAAATGATCTTGGTCACGAGATCTGTTTATTTGCTAAATCAGTTCAGTAAATAGATCAGATGTATCAAATGTTTAAATTTGAACAGGTTTAAATGTATTGGTTTGAATTGAAATTCCCAATTTCTGTACACTGATGATGTAGGAAAGGCACAGGTAACAGTAACCATGTTTCTATTCAAGTGTCACAGTAAGCCATGACGAAATACCAGAAACCTGATACTGGAGCAGCTAAGCCATCATTAACTTTATTATTTACACCTGTGCTGTTCCTACGGTGACACATAAAATTATGCTAATAACAATGTATCATTAGTATTTATTTTATTTTAAACATAACAACAAGATGATATTAATCATGATGATGATTTTTTCTTTTCCTGAAGTGCTGACTGTGACTGTGAAAACACCAGGGTCAATGACAGTTCAGGAATTTACACTGTTTTATCCCTGATTGTGTGTGTGTGTGTTTTTTTTATAAATACAGTTTATATAATGTTTTAAATAAATCAATGAGAAGAAAAGATATTGCAAGAGAATATACTGTATACTGAATACAACACCTCATAGTTTGGGATGATAAAGGTGGTGAGCAAAATATAAGGTAAAAGGTAAATGAGCTATACTTGTTTCACTAATATTCACCCTATTCACACTCAGTCATTCATTCATGGCAAAGGGCTACTATGCAAGGGGTCAACTGCTCTCTAAGGGACACTATAAGGTACCATGTTCTCCAATAATCTTCAACAAATCTTCAAAAAAAAAAAATTCCTCGCATATAATACATTCTCTAGATTGTAATACATGTATATGTATTGTATGTATTGTAATACATCTACATGTTATTTTGTCCATTCCACGTATGCGTCCGGGTGGTAAAATAAGAGTATGAACAACTCAACACAGTCTCTTTTTCCCACAAAGCTGCTGTAGTGAAAGGAATTTATTGGGTTAAATGTCATCCCCTTCTTGTTTGTATCTCCACCATGAGGAGATTTCCCATTATTGAGGAGTGGGCCAATACTATCAGAAGCCATAAGATGGAGCTAGAGACCATTAAATCCACATTTCTCATGTGACATAAAAGGCAGATATCCCTGTAACTTTACACAATAACAAATGAGATCAAATCTATGGGAATTGTTAAGAACTGTATCATTGAAAGTGGGTATATTTCTGAAATAAAGTCTATATTGTTGTCCACTAGTGATATAATAAAAATAATTTTATTACTCTATATTAACCAATTTATAAATCATTACTCAATTACTAACTAGCATCACCGGTGGCCTAGTTATCAGGATCAACAAGTAGTAATTACTGAGCTCTTTTTTTCCAATCCACTCCATCTTAGTCATCAATATTTAAACAGTATAACCAAAGCCTAACAAGTTATGAATGATTTAAGATTCTAGAATGTGTTTAAACAAGTAATCACTTGTGCATTAATTATTAATAACATTTTAGAGCTGTTTGCGTGACAGTATTTGACTGGTGGCTGCTATATCATGTTGTTTTTTAGGGGTTGGACTAGTTGACAGCTTGTAGCCCATTGCCATGGTTTAACAATATGACACCTTTGAAATTCACAGGCTATTTATTAATTGTGATTTTCACAGGTTTCCACTGATGCTTGCTTCTTCTCTAACATGTTGTTAATTATGTGATGAATAATGTCAAAATCTCCCAAAAATAATGCTAAAAGAAAGATGGTACTTTTTACAGTTGTATATGATCTCTTAAGAAGCTGATTCTCTCTTGTGCTGCCTTTGTGTGTGCAGCTTCCTTCTCCATGTACATAGAATGAGCAGATATGACCAATATGAAACAGAGTTGTGTGTGCCTCTTATTTATTTGTCTTCATGAGCAATTCACTGGATAAAACAAATACTGTTACAACACAAAAAATGATTATTTTCCAAAGCAATTTTGGCCACATGTTATGTACATGTTACAACGTCATAATAAAAAGACAGAAGATCATCTCCTCATATGACTGTTTTCTCCATTTTAATAATTAAAAAAGCTATTCACTGTTCACCAGTCATTTACATTGGAATAGAATGCTCAGGCCAAACCACCTTCACTTTATTTTTTATTATTTGCAAATGCAAAACTTGTCAACAATAAATAATACTATAAAATGTACACAAAAAGATTGACAGTCCACCACAAGTTAAAACGTTGAACAGATTGGATGTTTAGGAACAAGGAATTTGGGAGGAGGGTTTTCTCTTAGCAAAAATGTGACGGTCCATACAAGTTACAGAAAAAGCTGATCATCTATACATTGACACTAGCAAGATAACAAAGTTGTTGTTTCTGGTATAGTTCATTTTGTACAAAGAAGGGAGAGTCTTCTTCACAAGTGAGCAACATTGTCTTAACTGTAGAGATTATACAAGCAAGAGTTAAGGCAACTTCTCTGTTGTTTTTGAAAAGTAACATGAAGTCATGTCCTGTTTTATTTTGTCTGTGGATCACTTGTCTATATTAGGGTTGGTGTTACTTGTCATTGCATAATTCAAGCCTGTAGTCCACCATCGAAAAAGGAATGCTGGAGATTTGTCACGAGTCTGTTTGCCATCACAACGACTGATTCAGTGGTCCAGTATTTCCACGTGAGAGTTAGGCTCTCATATCTTCAATATCTGTATCAGACATGGACAGTATACCATTTGCAAAGTCAACACAACATGGTGCAGATTAGGATCAGACATGACGTGCATGTTGTTTTGTCTATGTGTGGCTGAATGTGTGTGTAAAGGTGTCAAGCAGGAGAAAAAGCAGATATAACAAAAGATTGTGGTTAGTTCCTCTTCAAAAATCAAGCCCCCCTTCCCCTTTTTGAATCAGTATGACATTTCTGGTAAAGATCCTGACAGGAGATTGGCCAGTTAGTCTGTGAATAAAATTTTATCCTGATGGTGGCACGAGAAAAGGTCACCAAAACAATTAGCATTTGTCCTCTGGGTAGCAAATTTAATCAACATTTTGGTATAAACTCTTAAGAAGCTACAGCCAGAGCCAGTTAGCTTAGTTTAGCACAAAGACTAATGATTAGTAGTAATAATTAATAGTAGGCAGAGATGTTTTACCTTTAGAGAGAGCCTGGCTAGCTTTTTCCTCCTGTTTACAGCTATCCAACGGCTGGCTGTAGCGTCACGTTTAAAGGACAGACATGAGAGTGGTAACACTCTTTTCAAGCGTGTTTCCCAAAATATTGAACTCTGGCCATTAACTTTAGATATTTTGTGTACAAAGTTGCTGCTTTGTCCTGAGGGTGGAGCTCATGGACAGTCCAGGTTTCGTTCTCTGATAAACATCACTGTGCTCAGTACATTTTATGTCAATCTGCCCACATAGCCATCATTCGTCTCCACTGCTATCAGCACAAAAACGTGTCAGTCTACATGTCATATAATAACAAGGCCAACACCTTTCTTTTCCTTTACAAGGTCAGTCTGTTTGTGAAAATGCTTGCAGCCTGTCAGCTCAGTGCAGCGTATGCTGAAGTGACAGCTTGGGGCAGTAAAGAAAGGAGCTAACCAGGACACATGGATCATTTTGGAAACTTTGTTCTCCTCACCTAACAGCTAAGCTGACCAGCACTTCCACCTTCTTTTAACAGCATGGTGCAGGCCTATACACAAACAAGTAGGAAATTGTAGCCTGTCCTTCTTCAGACAGAGGGCCGAGCTGTATCAGTGGCTCACTTTTGTACAGGGTTTAGCTAAAGGATAAGGTCATGTCCTCTGTATACCTTTTTACACACAGTATTTTAAGTATTATTATTAAGTATAATTCAACAGAAAAAATAAAATATGAAAAATCGACATAATTAAAAAACAAAATTGATTTCTGGTCAAAATGACAAGGGGTGTGTTGAGGAGCTCTTTAGAGGATGACCTCTAAAATCCTGGTTTAACATGGCTCCCATATTTAAAGACAGCACAGAAACTACAGTTTCTAGGTTACCTCAACCCTGGTTTCTGTTCTTTCACTAGCAAGATTCAGAATGGTGGCCCGACAGGGAAATGTCAATATTGGAGTAGGGGTGCAAACTGTAATTTTAGAAAGGCTGTGCTTATGGATATCTGTGAAGGAATTACAGAAAGGTATACTTGTGGACAAATGCACTTGAGCAAAAAGACAGGCAGCTTAAAAAGAGCATTTTCACTGCCTTTGCTTGGGAGAGAAATGAAGCAGGGGCAAGGAAATGCTTAAAGTGACACCAAAGCTGGGCCTTGGCAAGCGGCAAGCTAAGCCTAAATGCCTGACTAACAGGCAACAGATAGAGTTGCACACTGCTTACTCTGAGTCAACACTCTGTAATCTCAACTGGGTTTTCTGCTTGCACCTGCCTCACACACACACGTACACACAGTTAAATGGATTATGTGCATTGTGTGTGTGCACTGTGTGTGTGCATGTGTGATGTGATTTTGAGTGCTGTAGGTATGCTTATGACATGCGAACATGTGTATGAGTAAAGGCTGGGCCTCATTTGGACTCGCAAAGACTGACACATTTTTTCTCCATGACAGAATGAAATAAAACAAAGGATGGGACTGCAAAGCAATGCACACATCTAATGTAACTCATCATAAAAGGCTACTTAAGTCCTGCATTATCTTTTTCACTATTTGTATTTCACCAAATTCGCAGTGTGACATATCATAGGCCTTTATGGATTTAGTAAACCATAAAGACAACAGGGTAATACTGCTTTTGACATCCACTTGTGTTCTCCTATATCTTCTTTTCTTTTTTAAAATAAGTGCTTGTTATTTTGGCAACTATAAATTATCTGGTCAAATCTTCAGTTTGAAATCCCATTTCCACTGAAAACAAGGTGACATGTTTTGTTTCAACACACCAGAGGCCTTTGGTGTATGATAATACCTTGTCTCACACTGGTACAATGTACCTCCTCCATAGGAGTGTAAACTAAATGCTGGCATTGTTTGATGTAGTCCCAGCTCACAGGCTTAAGCTGCGGTATAACTGGATCAGATCAAACTGGATGGGTGACAGTTGTGATGCTTTTACTTAAACTGCCTACGCTGTACATAGAGCATAACATTGAATCAAGGACAACGTTGGCTTCAAATTTGGCGCAAAACAAGTAATAATTGGCAAAAACATTCAGCGACTTGGCAGGATTGGTGGAGGAGCAAGAGGCAACGTTTTAAATATTTGTCAAATTACTTCCAAAATGAATTTGTTTTCATTGCGTTTATTGTAGAAATATTAGTAGTGTTACTTCAGCAGTTTTCCTCCAGGTCCCAAAAGAATTATTTATGAAAGAGCTGGCTTCCCTCTGCCCCCTCTACATTCAGTGCAGTCAGTCTCAAACTAACCCATTACAGGAACATCACTGGTAATGTATTATAGAAAAGATTACGTACTAGCCTGTGGTAGCAAGTACCCATTGCAGGTTGGCAGAGTTTCTATATTGTCATGCCATCCAAGTTCTTTTGGGGGTGCAGTAAGCTTTAAATGTTCTAAAACAGCAGGGGTCTGTAGCACTGTTACTGCATGGCCTTACCAAGGTTGTGAAACTGTCAATAATAGGAATGATTATCATGACAACTCTGTCTCATTCTAATGTCACAATATATATTTAAATTCAGTGATGTTTGAGAGCAAATAAATAGATGCCACAGGAAAATGGCAGAGGTTGCATGATTCCACCCACACACCATTACTTGCTGGTGAAGGTTAATATTTTATCCTCCAGTCTGCTGATTCAGTAGGAATAATACTCAACGCACTTGGTCATTTTGAACTGTTTTCCAGCCTCTAATTTAAATATCTCTTTAAATTGTCCTTCAGTCATATTGCTTCAACTTTTTTATGCTTGATGTGCTTCTTTTCAGCTAGCACCCATCAGAATTACCCAGGACACTTTATGTCAGGTTGACGAGTACATTTCTGCTGGTTGTGGACAAGCAAAGGCCAAGAAGATAAAGCAGAATTTCTGCTATTTTTTTCCAGCTCAGTGGCTCTACAATCTAAACTTTGTGAAATCAGTCTATACCTTAATGACATCTTGTGTGAGAAAAAAATAACACTTACTGTAGCAGAGATTTTGTACCTGTGGTGTGCCACCAGACAGGCCGAAACAGGACCTTCACACTGGGGGATGGAAATCTCTTTTTGGGGATCCTTCACTAATTTCCAGCAGCAGCTTTGAATATTGGACACTATAGTAACAAATAATACAGAGAGCACTTGCTTTGATAGGGGAGGGTGGATGTGGTGTCTGAACCAGTGTGGGCCAGTCTAAATGAGAAGAGAAGCAGCAGGGTAAAGTCCTCCTGTTGCAGGGATATACTGTCTGCAGTTCAAATGTCAAGCAATCCTGGCGGCCATGGCATCAAGTCTGTAGCAGTTTAGTCCATCAGGGTGTCCGTCACACAAACAAAAGGAGTCTTGTCCTGCTCTACTATGATACACATCAACATGTTTGGTTGGACTCTCATCAGTCGTCGAAGGCGATTTGTGGTGCTGGTAGATTGGACGATGAGTGAGGACAAGAAAAATATTTGTGTGTGTGTGTGTGTGTGTGCACGTGTGCACGTGTGCGGTGGTGTAGTTGGGAAGGGTGGGATTTGGAGGTGGGGGGTGGACAAGTGAGTGTCGTTGATGGCACTGTGGTCCTCAGAGCGTCCATCTGTGAAACAGAGTGGGAGGAGAATTATACTGAGTCACTGGGAGAGCAGCCCCCCCATCCCCTCACCCCTGTAAAGTCAACGCATGAATTCAGGCAGGCAGCCCCAACTTTAGTTTTAAGGTACAAGAACCACACAAGAACAGATTTGAAATATTATTACTACAGTATAATGAAACATTTGGTGTCTGCTTCTTTGGTGGCATATGTTTTACATAATGTTTTAGATGTTTCATATTGAATGCCTTGTGATATTGCAGACAAGTGGGAAAGGTGAGATACAGAAAAAAGGTTTTGCATGGCCCCTTCAATAATCAAATGTTCTGTACCTTTAGGTATTTGAAGATTGGGGTACATTTTCTCCATCACTCCTAAGATTCATTGCAGCTGCCGGTTTGCTTGTCGCAGTACTAACGGTGCATGGGTCTTGATTTCCATCTTTTGTCATTATTAATTACTCTAATTCAGAGCACTCGCTTCATGTTACTACGAGTTGAATTGGTCTTCAATTGCTCTTGAATGCAATTTCATTTAATTAACAACTCAAGGAGCGCATCATTAAATTTGGTATTAATGTGTTGAATAAATCCTTTGGCATGAAAGACCTCCTGTTTCCATGCTGCCACTCAAAGTAAATCAACAGGTAATCTTTCTGTAAAACTGGAGCAATGTGCTGGCTCATGAGAAAATATATGTATAAAGTTGAGATTAACGTGTTGGCTAAACTCACACACATTACATCTAGTGCCTTCCATCCATCCATCCATCCATCGTCAACCACTTATCCTGTGTACAGGGGCTGGAGCCAATCCCAGCTGACATCGGGCGCAAGGCGGGGTACACCCTGGACAGGTCGCCAGTCCATCGCAGGGCCACACATAGACAAACAACCAGTCACACTCACACCTAAGGATAATTTAGGGTCACCAATTAACCTTGCCTGCATGTCTTTGGATGGTGGGAGGAAGCCGGAGCACCCTGAGAGAACCCATGCAGACACGGGGAGAACATGCAAACTTCACACAGAAAGGCTGGGGAAACCCCCATCTAGTGCCTTGCCATTTATAAATATATACAGTCTTAAAATGTTATTTTAATGAGATGATTAAGTTCATTTGTGGTGTCTAGGTGCTCAGGGACAATTCCCTGTGAATGCCCCTCCAGGTGACATTCAAATGCATCACCTCCACACTGTCCGTCACAGTGGACGGGAACATGCACTCTGGTATTCTTTTCGATAACAATTCACTTGATGCTTGTTTGACCACTTCCACACGGTCCGAATGAGGGCACATTGCGTCTACCCTTGAATCAAGCATCACATTCACATAGTGAAATCCTTAATGAAGTGATGAAGGCCTTATTGTGCACTTTCAAAATGATCATGCTACACAGCACAAAATATAAAATAACCCTATTGCCAGAATTTCTAAAAGTTATGATCTAGTATGAGTAGTAAACAACTTTTTATATATATGAATATATATAATATTTTGGAAGTAAAGGACAAAATAGCTCAAAGATTCACGCTGGGGAGTGAGAAACATTTCAAAACATGAAAACTGACTGATTATTTGATGGGTACCCTACTGTGAATTACCAAATGTCACTGAATAAATCTGAGCAAATGTTTACTTGAATACAGTGTGCACAACTGTGTTAATGTGTGGAGCACACTGGGGTGAACCCACCTCATTTGTTTTGATTGCGGATTCGCAGACACCTCCTCTTCAGTGGCGGCTCCAACTCTGGGCTCCCGTCTGCTGATAAAGGGGCACTGATGGAGCAGGACAGGATGGCCGTCTTGTCAGCGCCGGGCTTTGGCACAGGCTGGATGACCACACAGCCTCCGGTGGACAGCAGCGGCAGGGCATAGGCATGCTCACCCTCCTCCAAGTTGGAGTCAGGGTCTGGCTTACCCTCCGTTGTGTCCGCCATATCGTCTTGCACTGAGCCCCGCTTCCCCGGCTCCCAATCTCCAACTGAGCAATTGTTCTCTTTTAGTGCCTCACGCTCCAGCTCCCCATTGGCTGGCTGCTCCTCTGCCTCTCCTTCTCCTGCAACACTGTCTGCTCTTCGGTCAGGGCAAGACTCAAAGGCAGGAGTGAGAAGCGAATGCCATCCTGTACCATTGACTATGACATTGCATGGGGCAGCAGGGCTAGTTTGGCGCTGGGGCAGGGGTTGGGTCCGTGCTGTGCTTGGCAAGGGTGGTGGGGTAAAGTTGGAGATACAGGAATTTAGCTGGTTTACTGGAGGATCAGTATTGCAAGAAGGGCTACTGTTGTTGGAGGGTGGGCCTGATGATTGCAGTGTGTTTGGGTGTGTGGACCCTTCCAGCTCCGTAGCACTGAGGAGGCCCTGTGACAGGACCCCTTCCTCCATATCACGACTTCCCTCCACCCCGCCCTCCAGTCCAGCAGCTGGTGGAGATCTGGATTCAGCCTCTGCCTCTACTTTGACCTGGACCCCAGGTAGCATCCTCTGAATTACCTGCTGTTGGCATGATCTCTGGCCCACAGTTAGATCAATCACCCCATCCATCGGTCCGGGGCCGCTGATTAGACACAGGTTGCCCGAATTGTCCTCTGCCTTCACAGTCAAGTCCACCAACGCTGTCCTGCTTCTCTCTGAGCGTACAGGAGAAAGATGCTCTGCACCAGATGAGTCTACTTTCTGCTCCCCTCTGTCACCTCCAGAGGAACCTGGAGAATGGGGCCAAGAAGCTGAACCTTCAAAGGACTCTGGAGCACTGCGGACGGAGCCACTGCTCTCTGGCTGGTCCCTAGAAGTTTTGGGGCTGAAGGGAATTGGAATTGGAATAGGGATTGGGACAGGGAGGGGTACAATGACAGGGTAAGGGACCAAAAGAGTAGGTGGGGGTACCAATGGCGCCAAGGATGGCATGCCAAAGTTCATCATTGGTGGCAGAGGAATGCGTCCATTCGGCATCATGTTGATTGGGGGGAAAGGGGAAAGGCCTGGCATGGGGAGACCAGGGTGGGGAGGCATCATGCCAGGGTTAGGATTGGAAGAGGGATGGACATGTGGAGACAGTAGGGGCCTATGCATGGGACTTGATGCTGGACCAATGGTCCTAGCGGAAGGTGGTGGACCAATACCAGGGATGATTGGGTTTGACAGGGGGCTATTGGGCCCTGCTGGGTGGGCAGAGGGGCGAAGAAATGGTGGACGGATCTGCTGCATCATTTGATGTTCCATGAACAGAGGCAGGGGCATGGGTCCCCGGGGTGTCATCACCATGGGAGGGCTACCAGGAGGAACCCCAACAGGGGGGTGCAAAGAGGGAACCGGTGGTGGGGGGAGTGTGGGGCTCTCATGGGGTCTGGGTGTGGGGATTTTGGCTGAGGAGGAGGAGGACGGGGAGCAGATGGCAGCAGTGTCTGAGGGTGAGGTGGCAGAAGAAGTGGAAGGAGCAAAAGCAGAGGTGGTGGAAGGCCCCCCTGGTGAGGGAGCTTTACGCCGGAGGTCCGTTAATGGAGTTCCCCAAGATTCAGGAGTGAGCAGTTGTACCCCTCCGCTGCACTCCAGCTTACCCTCCCCCCCAGCTCCATGTCCTGGGTTACAGAGAGCTCCAGGCAGCGCGGCCTGGGTCTCCTTGTAGAAAATGTCCATCTTATATTGGTTTAGGCATTTGGCACTGCAGAACTGCAGCCTCCGCTCACCAGCACCAAAGTCCAGGTACTCCTTAGTGTGGCGAATATGTTTGCACCAGTCACACACCTGCAACAAAAAACACACACAGTACAGACACTGTATCAGCACCTGTCACCCTGTATACAAAAAAAATCTAATTTGTTTTTGATTGAATAAAACACAATCTTCTCCGAAGTACCCAGGTAAGCAGAAGCTCAGCCTCCAAACCATCCGGAGATAAACACATTTTAAAAACATACTTTTTAAGGAACGGATGCTGTTTCTTAATACTTTAACAGATCTGTCAAGAGCAGACAATTAACTTTGATGTTTGTATATATGCATGTCTGTATGTATTTGATTTTGTTTAATGTAGGTGTGTGTGTTTGTGCATGTGTCTAAATTGATGTGTTTTCAGTGGCATTCTGCTGCTAAGTGCTATCAAAGTGACTTTAACTTTCTGTCCTAACAAGGGATGCCCATTTACACCTTCTGTTGGCAATAAAGATACTCTCAGTCTCATTTAACCACATATCCCTAGGAGAGTGATGCCCCGAGCACAAGGCAAAAAGAACATTTCCTTCAAATAGTTTTCCACATTTGGAACACAAGTAAACAAACAAAGTGTGTGCAAACTAGTAGACAGACATTATAGTTAAGTCAGTTTAAATGCTGGAAATAATGTTTACCCTAAATAATTGATCAATACTGCATTACACAGAAAACTCTGCTGCAAGTTGCAGTTTCAAGCATTCTGCCTAATTTAGTAATGATCTGAGAAGACATTCTGCGTGGTGTAAGGATTTACTTTAAAATTCTTCAGAGGCATCAGGTATTTCTTGCAATAGCGTAATGCAGAAGTGTCAATTAAACTCTGAAGCTCACAAAAAAGTGTAGCTAAAAACTGAGAAGAAATTTACCATGTTGTTGTTTTTCTTATCCCTGTGGATAACTGGCTGAACAGTGTATGCTATTACTGAAAATAGTTAACTGATTTAAATCAATCATTTAAAATCAGAGAGCATAACACAAATGCATATTGTCTTAAAGAAATTACTGTACAAATCTACTACATTGTGTTGAAAACAGTTTTGCAAGCATAGAGCTGCTATTTTAGACCAATGTTCAACGTTACTGTGGGAAATCTGTTCATCCTCTTAGTAGCCCTGTAGCTTCAAAAGACCAATATGTAATGAGATCTTTTTCTCAAACATGAGGGAACTTTTTGTGACCAACACAGTATTGTTATCTATCTACTAACTGGAAAAACTACAGCTCAACCTACATGTACAGAGAGACTCTGTCAGAGAAGTGCATTACATGGTAACATGCTAGTATTGTGCCCACACAACATAAAACTACATGGTCCGGACAGGGATATTTGACCTAACAATAAATACTTCCTTAATATTGCAATAGAACACCTCTCAAACCTAACTCTGTGAATATACAAACTTCATCCCTGACAATGGTGTGAGTAGATTATCAATGCATTCGTTTCCACTGTTCTCTTCTATACCTAATTTTAGCTGATATCCAATTATATAACAGTAAATTGTCATCTGTATTTTGTTGGCTACGGAAACAGCATTTGTCTTCTTAGCACTTCCTATGTCATACTAAAGAAATTCTGTGGTAACAGGGTCTTTGTGAAACTAATCCAAATCAATTATTGTTCTTTATGTATTACTGAAGCTACTAGAATAACGAGACTGCCTTAAGATGAACTTTTTAGAGTCACATTGGGATTTGTAAAGTGAGGTCAGGGCCAATGATTTCATTTATAATAACACAATTATTTTGCAAGTTCACTTTTCAAACTAAATTTCTCATCATTTGTGGGGCTTTAAGGCAGGATCACATCTGTATGCAGAGAGTGGACCAGAACTGGATCCAAACATGAGGAGGCTAAAGTGAAAAGTTGTCTTTCTTGCTCACTGCAATGGCAAAGATCCCAAAACACACAGCTGAACTGTTTCATCACTGTTATACACCTTTTCAGCACAAAACGTGCAAATCTTTCTTTGGGAAGAAAATGAATGTGACCCTGGTAGAGTAGATAGCAGTGGGCGAGCCCTGAACACGGCGTTACTCGTCAGGCCACACACAGCTCACTCTGTCAGCTCTGGGAGGAGTGGCAGGTCCTCGCTGGAGATAATTAAGGCATTAATCAGTTGTCAGACCCCTCAACGACATACATCCATCACACAGACCCTTAAGCCCCCCAGCTGAATGTTAATAAGTTGAGGGATGCAACCGGAAGGTGGATAAACTCCTTTTACACACTGCATAGAAACACTGGTTCATTTGGCAGGATCCTGTCTGGCAGCAGCTGAAAGACAGTAGACTCACATGGGCTGTTTGGGCAGATGCACTGAAGCACTGGCCAGGATTTCAAAAGCGTAAATAGCATGCTCTCCTGCAGCTGCTACACGTGTAAAACATCAGGTTCTTTGCATAGATGATGTGTTTTACATCAGATTGTCCGGTACAAGGTGGTCTGAATAAAGCACAAGCATCTTTCAAAAGGACAAAAGTTTTAATAGATGTACTATAGTTCAGCAAGTCATTATGCTGTGTCACTCAGGAGGGTCAACGTGCCCAAATGCACTTCAGGAGGAATTTGTGAAAGTAACACATGAATAGAGCTCGGGACAAGCAGCTGGAGAACGTAAGGAGCTGCAGTAATAACAGATCAGAGACAGGATCAGAAACTGCTATGCTTAAACAGCACACTGGTGGTGCTCAGATGTCAGTCCCTTGAATTCTACACGTTTTAACTGCCCATTTAGTCCTGGCTAATTCAATGAGCCATGACTGAGTAAAAGTCAAAAAGGTGCTCTCACAAGTTGAGTTTGATAATGGTAGGCCCAGGATATTCTAAATAATAAATGTGCTGAAATTTTCCCCGACTCAGAAAGACAGATGGAGAGCACTTAACGACTTTCTGCACTGTGAGTGAAATTTCCCTGCGCATTACGCTAATGGAGTTGTGCTTTCTGTCTCTCTCACTCTCTCCCCACTCTGTACACAGATGTTTGCAGTTGAATGTAATTATGGTCATTTATTTCCATCGTGGCCAACGAAGCAGCATTGGTGGTGCAGTTTAACTGTTTGCATTTCAACAATTATCACGCTTCCAAACATGCACAATCACTTCAGCAGTCATCGTTTCCTTCCTGCTCTCACCCACTGATGAGGCCAGTGACATTTAAGAATCCCAAGATCAGGGAACAGCTAGTTTTAGTGTATAATTAGTTTAAATTAACAAGTTAGCTCAGGTGTTTCTTAATATGATGATCGGTGGCCATATTCAAGGGATTGGATGAAGAGCACTAAAATAGGAGTAGGTTGTGGAGCAACAGGTTGCAGAGGAGGATGAGAAAGTTTCAGGCAGGGAAAAAGAGGAAGGGGTTGCAGATGTTAAAGAGATTGAAGGATGTGAAGGATTTAGATAATGAAAAGGAAGATGAGGAGGAGGTTACAGAGGGTTAAGAGGTTGGAGGGTTTCAGACGGTGCAGAGATTGTAAGGTTTCATAAGAGGCTGTAGTGCCTGAAGTGGTTTTATATGTAGGATGATGAGCTTTCTGAGAATGAAGAGGTTTTAGAAGTGCATAAAGGGACAGTCTACCCCCCCTATAAGGTCGATATGCGATTCTTTTGACACTTCTCAGATTGCTGGTATAATCGCATAGTGCAACACACAAGGATTAAACCCATTGAAATGAACCAGGTGCTTGAAGCAAGCCAGTATCTTTTTAGTTGTCTCACGCGCCAAACAATCTACAGCAGCACCCACTCTTGACAAAGTCTGTCAATTATGTGAAGAGGGCAAACAGAAAAACTGTGCTTGTTGCATTGTGGATCCAGTCCAAAAACTACATTATGTACCGACTGCCATCTTAAAGCACCTGGTCCATTGGAAAAAGAAAACAGAAGAAAGCTTCAACTAAAGTTTATACAGGAAAATGTAATTTTGCGCCACTTGACAGACCATCTGCAACATGTGGACTTGTTATGACGATTAGCCAAAATATCAGTTACATTTATTGAAATATCTATTGTGATGGTTATAATTACCTGGCTTACAAAAGGGGAAACATATCTGGTTCATATCCGTTCCCAGTGTTTTACTGTGTATTGGATATATTGTGTACCTGAATGGAGCATGAAAATTTAAACTTCAGATAAAAGCCAAAGAAGACCAGAACTTCACTTGCTGTAAGGCTGCTCCTGTCACAGCCAGCCATCATCATCAGTCATTATAGATGTGACATCCAAAGGCCATTCTCACTTGGCCAGGTGAACCTCAATTGCACTATATTTCACAGCACACACTCAGGCACGCACATTGAGTAAAATAACTCCAGCTGTAAGAATGATGAGACAGACCTGTTGGATTGTATTTGTATGTCACTGCAGCAGACTGGACCTCTCTCAGACTAAATATATCTGTTGGCACGCAGGTGTCTGGTACACGTTTGCTTTTCCATGTTGGACTTCTTTGTTTAAGGCAAAAGTTTGACTTTTTGGGAAACATTTTTCTTGCAGAGAGTTGGATAAGAAGATTGATACCACTCTCATTCTTCTCAGCTTCATTATGAAGCTACGTCCTGCAGCTGATTAGCTTACTAGCTTATAGCATGGACAGGCTGGAAAATGGGGAAACAGCTAGCTTGTTCAAACATAACAAATTCTGCTTTCCAGCACATCTACACTCACTAATACACACTTTATATGTCATTTGTTTAATCCATGCATGTTTAATGCTAAATATAAAAATGACATGCTGTGGTTTTAGAGGGAATTATGTGCTGAACTATTTCTCGGTTGGGAGCAATTACTTCTTGGAGTCTCTGCTGGTTGTCTGGCAACCACAACAAGACTAACACTTTGGTTTTTGTATGGATTACAGTTGTTCTCAGCCACTTTGGTACATTTCTCAGATCAGAATAGAAATTCTCAAAATTACTTGTTCAACCTCCACTCAATCAAGTCACTTGTGCACATCATAAAAGTAATTTCTCATTCTTTTGAACAAACTGCAAATGCTTTGACACATTTATGCAAATGGTTATGTACAACTGTCTGCTGTTTCCTACATTATCAATTGCTTATGTGATGTTGTCATATTAAACTGTTTCTCTTCTAAATAGTTCCCCCCCAAAGTTCAATGCATAAGTCACTACATGCAAAATGGTTGAACATGTTGTCATAATCTGTCAAGCATATTTTCTATACATGTCTTTTAGACTTTTCTGTAGATGTGTCCTGAATTGATGAAAATAGCTGTTGTAATGTGGATGAGAATCTGTTGCCTGACAGGAACATCAGCCTAAGGGGTGTTTCCCATGTTTACATTTCTAATTTTGTAATTTTTTCCATTGTGCTATGCAGTGCTGAAAAACAGTCGTGTATTTTTCTTTTCTGCATCACAATGACATGCTCTGGCAACATATTACAGAACAAACAGTAAAAGTGAATCCAGTCCATCTCTTGCAATGTATAACTTTGTACTGTTGAATTTGAATGTGCCATATAGAAAAGGTGTGCATTGTCAATCATTGTCATCCAAACCTTAACCACAGTACATAACAGTACACTGTTATACTGACGACATGGCTAAACATTTTGACTATCTAGTTTAGAAACAATGACACGGGGACTTGTTGTTTTGATGCACTGACACAATTAAATGACATAAATTTTACTTTACAGAGAAAGACTAATGATTTTGAGCAAGTTATTGACTTTTGCAGAGAAATGCACTTAATCTTCTGCAAATGTTATGGATGATTCGAGAAAAGTACCAAAGCAACTGAGAAAGACTGTAGACAAACGAAGTGCTGGTATCTGGATTTTTTTTAGCAGTTTCCCCCTGTTTTCAGCTTTTGTGCTAAGCTACGCTAACCAGCTACTGGCCATAGCTTCATATTTATTTGCAAAACAATGGTCTAACTCATCTAACTCTCAGCAAAAAAAGGAAATAAACACAATTACCAAAATGTCAAACTATGGCTTTAAAAGAAAATGTTGGTCATATTTTCCTTTTTTCTTTTTTTTTCTTTTTGTAGTTTTGGCTACACTTCTTTTGGTTGTGAAAACGTATTCACCACTGTCAGACAATCAGACAGGTTGGATACTGTTTTTTTCCCATATAAGTCAGCTAACCCAGAGGTGTGTTTGAAACCCTGAAACCTATGGTTGACTGCTTATGTTTCCTGCCTGATCTGACTTGTTCCACCAAAGTGTTTTCTTTCATTAAATTATAAACGATCTTTGAAAAACATATACACTGTTTGTATAACAATGATCAACAATTCATTTTAGTTAAGCCATAAATGTGTTATTATTGCAATAATAGCATACCTGCTTTTATTCTGGATGAGTTTACATATGTCTGATAATTCCTACAAGTCCCCAACACAAATCACTGAATGTATAATGAAAATGAGCAAAGCAAATGATTACGCACAAAAAAAGTTGAAAAGCTGAAACTTAAATGTATACAAACTGTAAAACATGAGTGCTGTCTCTTGTGTTCTGGGCTGACCTGAGTGTGATGGTGGAGGCCTACTTTTACCGTAATGCCCAAATTTATAAACTAGTCCATTGAGATGTCAGGAAGAAATGAAAATTATACACTTTTAACAAAGAGCAACATCAAAACATATTTGTGCAGTAGCCATCAAGCTTAAACTCTATCTGGTGTTAAATGGTTATGGTCCTTACAAGCACATCGCTGTTTGTCTTGAAGACAAGCCTGGGCGTGTCCTGAGTAAAGCTGTGCTGGGGTAATTTCCCACCGAGGCCATCGTCGTCTCTCGCCTGGGGGGGGAGAAATAATGGCTTCTTTTTACGAATGGACAAAATAAACAGGTGAACAGAAGCAACAAGCAAACTCAGAAATGGAAAACAACACTGAGAAAGATGAACAGAAATGGTGACTGTAAAATGGGTGAACATTCATTGGTTTGTGGCCAAACCAATCAACAGGATTCTCTGAAACAAAACTGTGTGTGTGAGTGTGTATGCATGCATGGTTGAGGAGTCTGCAAGACATTGAGTACAGACATTAAAAGTGCTGCGTGCTAAATCAGCAGTTCATTCAAACACCCATTTAGTTTAAATAAAAAAGGAAAATAAAACACATTTTTAGTAATATCATTCTACTCTAACGTGAAATTTGTGGAAGGATCTGAAATCCGTATAAGATATTAGCTGTTATTGAATAAGACAGTCTGTGAGTCTTCAGTCATGCTTGTTTACCTGTCTAATTTCCTCAGTAAACTCAATGGGAGTTAGATTCCACATTTAAAGGCCCTGCACGCTCACTAATGTGATTTCATTTATTCCTGTTGATAAGACTTCTGCTCAGGTTGAAGCTAGGTGGAGTTTTGCTGATAAATTATTGATTTTACCTAACTCTACTTTAACTTGTCATCAGAGGAAAAGCACAGGTGCTTCTAATGACATTAACAATGGCTCCATTATGCTGCATTCAGCAGAATGGGAAGAACAGAAAAAACACTCTTTATTCTGACTTAAGAAATGTTCACGCATCATTCCAAGATAGTCAGCCCTCCTGCTAACCTTAGAGCAATACAAACAACATTTTGCCAAAAGTTTGTTAACGCCTCCGTAGTTGTTTTTACCACGTGGAAGATGTTGTCTGTGTCAGAAATGTTAAAGCTAATGTTAGCAATCACTTCCTTCAAAGGAACATCTGTTGACAACGTTTTTGTCATACTTTTGAACAATATAGTCATTTAGTCACTTGCTGATAATTGCTTTGAAAAATGTAACGCAAGCTTATCAATATTTCAATAAACCAAAACAGGGTGAATAAAACCTCAACACAAAGAACATAATTATCACCTGGCTTGGCTGAATACTTCTAGATTGGACAATTAATTTTTTTTAGAACTAGTGTTTTTAAGAAACACGTTTCACATAGCAGACCACTGTTCCACATCTAACAACACTCCATATCAAGAAGACATTGTTCATGGCCACCTGAAAGATCGCTAGAACATTTTGTAAATGAATGTCAGATTTACACAGACTATTCAATTTTTAAGTTTACGTTTTAGGTTTCCGCTGTCTTGTTTACAGTAATGTGACTGACTCCGTTCAATATAGAATACTTATAGTTGGATGGCTCTGAGATGAATGAACTATTGCTATAAAAGCATGAAAAACTGTGCTTGACTGCAAACATTACCTAACACTATTAGGATGTTGCATGTTATTAGCCAAAGTTTGACAGAATTTTATAGTAACATAATGCATTCTTGCAAAAACAACAAGTACATTAGGAAAATAAGATAATTTGTTCAATTTACTCTGTTAGTATCTGTTGTGGGTTTAATTTCCCAACACAAAATCCCTTCAAACATTTATACCAGATGAAAAAGGAGCCACCTTCCTCTGCGCTCTGTGACTCATTCATAATGTGCAGTGTGAAAACTGAGGAAATCAGTGTTGTTATGCCAGGTGTGGGCAATTTTGATACAAAGAAGATATTGGAGAAGCTTTGCCTGGCACAATGCCAAATTGCTCCATTGTGTTTCATTAAATTAAAAGCACTTTTATATTATATAGACCTCAGTGTGAAAAAAGTGGTTCATACAGCGACTGGGAACTGAGCCACTGTTATCAGAGATGGAGATTCAGACCTCAATTATGTACATGTTCATTATGCCATTTGCAGCCCGCAAGCTGACATTTGATACTGAGCCTATGCCATTGACGGGTGAGCCACTGGCCTACGCAGCTCTCTTCCACATCATGTTCCTTTTAAATAACTTGCTGCAACCTTTGATTTGTCATGCGTAATTTGGCCTCCAGCTCTTTTCATCTCTCGATGATACCAAAGGGCAATTCTGCTATATATTTTACATTTTGTGTCCAGACTGATTGAGTTTGCCTCTGCTTCCATCTGCTTCCCTCACCTCCAGGTAGGGTTTCCCATTCCAAGCATGACATAAATCAAATATTGCTGCCGGATGTCTCGTGAAGAGTACTGTTTTGGACCAGTGTAAGAATCTGACAGAAAACACTGTTCAGCACTGACATTTTACAATGTAACAGGGGCGATTTGTAACCTTGTCACAAAAGATTGGAGAAAACAAAACCCGAGATTATGGGGCCATGGTTATGTAGAAGCTGTCAGTGCACTAAATGAACAGTAGGTGTAGGCTGACCCATTTCAGCTTTTTGCTTTCCCTCTCACACACAAACACATACATATGCACCATGTCTCCTCAGAGTGAGCACAGACACGTCACACAGAAAGACAGGTAAACGCTCATAAACATACGTATGAATCTGGGCAGGCATTTGAGGACGTACACACACACACGATGCACCATTGTGCTATTATTCTGTCTCCAGTTTGTGCTCTGACCCTCTGGCCCTGCGCCAGTTCATTTGCATATTGTACTAATGAGGTGTTGGCACTGTGAACGAGGCGTGAGGCACACACAGGGAGCCACACACAGATAAAGAAGATGGGATTAAGATAGCTAGACAGACAGACAGATAGATAGATAGATAGATAGATAGATAGATAGATAGATAGATAGATAGATAGATAGATAGATAGATAGATAGATAGATAGATAAACAGACAGTGTAGCACACTGGGGAAATGCAGTTTCAGGGCCAGTTGTGTTGTTGTGTTTAAAGGTGTTTCTTTCCCTTATTGCTGCTCCATCGTGCCAGCAAACTGCAGCTGCCATCTAGCTGAAGTTCCTTATCAGAACGACAGAGCAGGACATCGGACGCCTAGCTCCCCTCTGGCGACTCCACCGTCCTAAGGGGACATCACACCAGCTGCCACCGTGCTAGCTTCCATCTGGGCACGGATACATGTCCAGGTGTGTGTGCCCGTCACCTGCCAAAAAAGCCGCATTTCCCAAAGAAAGACGCTCATAGGCAAGCTTTCCAAATCCAAAGACAAACACAGCCGAGCGCAGCGGAGCTCATCTCAAAATCCTGAAATGAAGGTGCAGTCCTGGCACCACGCGAGAAAACACACTCTTCCAGAAAAAAAAAGACAAGTTCGTCTCTACTTTTCATGTTATGAAAAGCCATCCCAACACCATTACATTACATTACATTTATTCATTTAGCAGACGCTTTTATCCAAAGCGACTTACAATTGCTATGTATGTCAGAGGTCGCATGCCTCTGGAGCAACTTGGGGTTAAGTGTCTTGCACCAACACCAGTTCAGTTCTGTTTGCTGTGCACCCAGGAAATTTTGCACAGGAATATTTTTTATATGCTTAATATTACTTAAGCCATGATCACAAAAAATAGGGGTTTCGAGGGTTGTCTGGTAAAGGTAGCAGTACTTTATGATCCTATAATAAGTATAATTTAAAAAAAAGTAAATAAACAAGTTAAGCACTTTCAGGTAAAAATAAAAAAATGCTTGCTGGTTTGGACCATTTGGAGCTTTCTTACAGCAACATATACATAAATCTACGTAGAAATATTTGAGCATATTGCTATCATCTCTAGAACGATGCAAGCCAATTTCCTTGTTTGAAATGCCTTTTAAACGGTGAAGCAAATGCTATTCTCAAAATAAGTCTCTGGAATAACATCTTCATGGCACACTGATTGTGAATTTTGAATTGGCGCGTTGTTCTTGGAACATAAGAAGGTTGAAAAAAGTATTTCCTTGTTTAAGGTCACCCTCACAACACAACTGGAATGTGCAAAATGAGGTGTGTCTGCAAATAAAGAAATTAAGTACATTCTTTACTTTGCACTTTTTGCGTGAGTCTTGTTTATCACACCTACAAGTGCAAGTTCATGTGCGTGGCTCTACTTTTACAATCCTAGTTAGCCGGAGTTACTTTTGTCTTTATTTGAGCTGAATGGCTGGCAGCTATGAGATAATCACCTTCCTCTCTGTGCCCTGAAGCCGTGTCAGGCAGGCCTCAAGGCTTCCTAACCACCAGTGTGTCTAAGCTGCAATATGCAGACAAATTACACACTTCATCACGCACACAAAATTTCCACAAGCAGCTACAGTCATACATATACAAGACACAGTTACACACACACACACACACACACACATACACACTCAGACACGCTCTTCTCTCTTATTCATTTCGCGTGCGTGCACCTCCTTGGCAGGCGATGGCGATGCAAAGTAAATTTTGGAGTGTTCAGGAGCAAGAAGGCAACTACGGGGCTGTGTGTGGAGGAGACTTGTGTATCTGTGTTTGCGTGTGTGTGTGTTTGAGGGGATGTGACATTTCTGGGCTGACATGAAGCGGCACTCTGCCCCCTCACGCCTGGAGGGAGCTCCCGGGGAAAGACACTGATGGAGGTCTGGGGTCTCTGGGGGAGAATTTCATGGTGTGAACAAAAAGCCCTGCGCTGCGGCAGAAACGACCGGTAAAACGCAAGCTGGAGTCTCCTCGCTACCTGCTTAATGCTTTTTTGAATGTCGTAGAAGCAGAAGACATGGTTCATGTATTCATGCACTTGTGTTTGCTTGCATGATGTACAAAGATATATAAAGATAATTATACTTTTATTATATTTATAGAATAATGACAATGTGATCCTCACATATTTTAGTTTTTAATTTTGCATGAAGAATTATGATAAATCACCCCACACATGACACATAATAAGCCACTCTTAACTGTGTTTTATCAGGATTTTGAATTAGTCCTCCTTCTAGCTGCTTTTCAACCACAGCATACCAGTCTACAATCAACCAGTAAGTTGTTTTTTTTCCTGAGGAATTCAAGCCCAAAACCTCCTGAACTCAAACCAAACTGCAGAGAAAAGCAGATTGTTGGAGCTATTGCAACAGCAACAAGCAACATTTCATCACAACTGATGTCTCAGCAAGAGACCCCTGCATGCAGCATTTAAAATCCAAAATGATATGTTGACGATATGTGTTTGAGCTGAATGTAAGGCTGACTGACTCAATGAGAAAGCATCCTCTAACCTACACCTTTCTGCCGCCATGCTCCACACTCGCAGAAGGTAATTCATCACTGCTAATTGCCTAACTTAATCTTGGCACTGTGTCCAATGAGCAAGCATGTTTATCGGTGTATGTGTGGGGGTGTAAGATAGAGCGAGATGTGTAAAAGTGTGACAGTTGAGCAGCTTCCACCTACAGCTGAAAGCAAAACTCCACCCTAAGTTTAAAATTCATTCACTTTATTCCCCAAAACTGTCCAAGATTGTAGCTGCTGTACATGTCTCAGAGATCTTTCCCTTCATTTTGTATCTTTCTACTCTAACTGGCCTTTTCAGTGCACACAATGCGTACAACACACACACAGCGAGTTGCAGCCTATTACAAAACAGGAGAAAGAGGCAAAGCTATGCCTCTAAATCAATACTGGACAGTCAAAAAGAGAATGAAAGTGAGCAGGCAGAGTGGGGTGACAGACAGAATAACAGAGCAGTGAGAGCAGCAAGGAAGCAGCACCTTCCATAGAAACTAATCCAGAAGCTTAAGGCATACAGTAAACAGGCACATAAGTGATTAGCTCCAGTTAAACTATCAATCATCTTTTGCCACACACAAACACACACTACAGTCCATGATATAGGGTTATGCAGAGATGTGAGAAAGTAGCAACCATAGTCACCCTAGGAGGGGATTGGGTTTCATGCATGAGGCAGCTGAAGATATTTCATGCAACTTAATGCCAGAGCCGTTGCCCGCCCCCTACACCCCCCCCCCTCCCCCACCTCTCCTCTCCTCTATCCGACACACACACAGACATGAGATACTTTTTCAGCCATGATAATTTTTTTTTTTTTTCTGCTGGAAAAAAAAAGAGAGCCTGCAGGCCGTGTTGTTGTGGCCAACCTTGTGGGTGCACGAGAAAAAGAAACGTGGGTATCGCTTACACAAATGGCCTGCATGAATGTGCGAGAGCCAGACAAAATATAAAATCTGAGCTCGCTGTGGCAGAACAGGCCTTTCCTGCATTTGTGACGTTTGAACATGTGCATTCTGCTGATGGATGAAAGCAAACATCCACCATGGCATGTAAGTAAATGATATTTATTTAAACTGTGTCCTAAATTTGTGCAAAAATATTGATGACATTGGTTGATTGAATCTGTAAATGTCTGTTCTGCTGATGCATAGATCCAACAAACATGCTCTACTAATGTAGCTCAAATCATAAAGCTGCCACAGGACACATTTATTAATATCAATAAATTCCATCAACATTATTGTTGCAACTGAAATTTAAAAAAAACACATCTTGGTCGTGACCTGTCATGCCAATAATGTCAGAATAGGAAGCTTCCTCGTGTAATATTGCTTAAATAAATAATATTAGCCTCTTAGCAAGAACTCCATGGTATCAGATTACTAAGCCTACACATTTAATTTGACGATTAGTAGGCTAAAGATATCGAGAACAAGCTACATTATGTGTGTGGCTAGTTGTCTTGTTTGTTTGCCAAGTCTTGCTGCTGGCTAATCATCTAAAAGTATGGCAGTGCTAAAAGTTAAATGTGTCACCTAAATCCGGAAATAATCTTATTGGGCCTTAAAATTCTCTGCCTTGTCTCATAGAATTCTGTTTACATGAGCATAATGTCTCATGAAACAGGTAAGACTAGTCCCCAGTAAGAAGTGAAGACAAGAAATAGGAATCTGTTCTGACACTAAAATAACAGTGAAAAGAAACAGCGCTTCTGTCAGAGTAGTAGCAATGTTAAATACTGTACTTGCCTTAAAATCTAAGGCCCTGGATTAAATCCCTGATTTATGTAAACAGTTTATAGATTTAAAGCTCAGAGTTATGGAAGCTCATTTCCACTGCTTAAAATGAAAAATAAACAAAAATTTGTTTGATTAGATTGTTTTCTCCTATTATCTATATACTATCATAATTGTGACTTTATGAGGGCAAGACGGTATTTATGAGATAATATGTGATAATCATCAGGAAAAAAAACCCAAACACTTTCCAAAGTATCACATTCAGTTATGATGTCTTGAAGCATAACAGTGAATGGGACATTTCTTTATTTTTATCTGCCAGAGTAACTAAATGAAATGTGTTCCAAAAGCTACAAGGCCATGCCTAACAGATGTGTTTTGCTTAACAGAAGTTATTTACATGCTTTGTTCGGCAAACATTAAGGGAACCACTACATTTTATTATATTAAGCAAGTGAGTTAATGAACAAAGTGCGTTTGAGGTTGCAGACTGATAGCAAATTTTCACATGTTGCGTCAATGAATCGTACAGTTATTAAACAGTACAGATGTGTACTATGTTGGAACTATTGGTTTTATAGTAAAGGTTATGGTGGAACACCAGCAATAGATTGAGTGGCCTTCTGCGTGTCAGAGCTCATAAGGTAAAAGCTTTTCTCTAAGCCTGTCACTTTGAAATTCAGACTTTTCTACAGCTATAACTTGCATGATGAAGAGCTGTCACCGTAGTCAGAGGACATGCTTTGAAATTTCTGTCAAAAGTCTGAGGCTGATTAATGGGGAGAGCATAGAAACTTGCAAAGAGTATTGCTGCCTCTTTGTGTTTTTTTCATACACTTCTCTCACCTCACCTCCATGTACCTTAAATGCCAACAAGTATGTTCCAGCTCCACTAAAATGTCAGTTGTAAGTTCAGAGCACAATGCAGTGTTAATTAGTTAATTAGTCATATCTGAACTAGAAAAACTACAAATATACTATACAGGACTATTCTTAGAATTTTACTGTATAAAATGAAGGCAAGAGTAATGAAAATACTTAAATCTTTTTGATTACTTTTGCAATATTTATCTATAAAGAGATGCTTTTTATTTCTGTTTAATTGTAGACAAGGCCCATGGAATTATAGCAGGGAGCTTTGTTCACATCAGCTTTATGTCTGAAGTCATGTTTACAGCCTCCCTCATTGATCTCTGATTGATATGGAGCTGTCAAATGGCATAGACCTGTAACTACTTTTTTCTGACCTCCTCTGGAGATCAAAATAAAACCAGTTCAAAAGCTGAGTTTTGATCTGATATGAAGCTCTAAAGCTCTTCCAACTGTCACACGTTCTGCCACGAGGTTTCAACATGTCAGACTCTCCTCGTCAGCACCGGGACCAGACAGATCATTTGTCATCATTTCAAGGTTAAGTACAATGAAAACTTCAAACTTACTATAAAAGTAAATGAGCTAAAATGTTAAGGTTAAAAAAAATGAAAAACATACAGTATGAGCAACAGTACAGTAGACGCAAGGCTCAGCTTGATTCTCATGCTTTGGGAAAAAGTGTCAGAAAACAAAAGAAATTGGATATCACTAGCTGAAATGAACAGACATACTCTAAGTGCACCCCTATCTTGTTCCTGCTCCAGTGCAGTGCTTGAAAAGTGATTATGTTTAAATGAATAACTGACTTCAGGACAGACAAGCAGGAGAGTAAAACACGTCATACTCACAGCGTAATTCCTTACATATCCCAGCTTTGGTACAAGAGAGAAAGGAGATTGTTTAACTACAGTCATTGGAGGGAAAATTAGAACACAGTAACAACTTTGATATTTGCTGTGTGGCGTCTTATGCAACACGGTGACCAAGTCATTTTGGAGTTGATGGCCTGAGGTTGTTTTTGTAGTAAAATCCATGATTTAATCTAAATGGATTCTGTTTAAATGTTTTATGCATTTTGTATCAAGCTAACCTTGCAAAAGTAATGAGAGGGTTTTCAAGTTGACATTTCATACAAGCTGTTTTGTTAAAATGACCTTTTGATGTCTTCAGTTAGAATTAAGCATACTAATTGCTGAAGCTACAACAGATACAGCTCCTACTCACAGTATAAAGACTATTCAAATGTCATGAAAACTTTGTTTAGCTCTCAGAAGCAGAATATAGTATGTGTTTATAATGAGCAAACCAGATGATGTAACATTTTCTGGCAGCCAAATTAGAGGCTCTCTGCTCTTGGCAATAACACAGATACAGTACTTGCACTTCTGAACTTTGCTTTCCAACATAACTGATTAGACATACTGTATTTGTACACTATTTACACGCCAAAAAAATGAACATTGAAAACTAAAATGACCAGTTTTGTGTGGAAATAATGTTAGCACTTTAGCTAGTACACCATAGCGTCACGTTAGCTACCAGTCACAAGCGTTCTTTTTGTTGCCTGACCTTAACACTAACTTTACTGACAGTTGTTTACTTGCCTAAACTTAATGAAATAGTGCGCCATTTTGGGAAATACACTTCAAGAAATGGTTACACCAAGTAACTCCTTTTAAAACCACATATTGTCAGTTTTGCATTTCTGTTTGTATTGTGGCAGTACAAAGGTACATCATGTAAACGTGTGGCTAGGCCAACTGTTTCCCACTGCGAGTCTTTATGCTTAGCTATGCTAATCACCACCAAACTCAACACACAGACATGAGAATCAATCTTGTCGTCTACCTCTTGACAATAAAGCAAACAAGTGTATTTCCCAAACTGTCAAACTATTATTTTCAATGTACCTGCGAAGGTAAGCATGGAAAAGGAGTATTGAATAAAGATGTTTATGTTGATTTAACTCTTAGTGTTTGTATGTGGGTGTTTTAATGGGAATGTGGATCTTTCAGATCAATATGATCTCGTTCCACATTTTATTGTGTGTCATGTATTGTCGGGAACTGGTTTTGGTCTTGACTTGGTCTTGTCCTCCCTCTGTCTTGCCCTCAACTTAGTCTCATCCCCTAAAAGTCGTGGTCTTGACTCAGTCTCGATAAACTCTGGTTTTGGTCCTGACTTGGTTTCGGTTTGGGAGGTCTTGACTACAACACTAACAATAGCATTGTGTCCAATTCATGCTATTCTCAACAATCATTCACCGCATAGCAATAATTTCCCACTTGCATTTAGATATCATGATATACAGATTTGTTTTAATGCTTGTTTTATGAATTTTTTAATTTTCCTCTGGGACTCACTGATGATGATCACATAGTTGCCAGGAGATTTGGGACATACTGTATCTGCAAAGTCTCTAAAACAAGTTATATCAAAGTGTCCAGCTGATTATGGGGAAGGAAATTTCACCTTGTTTCTCTTAAAATAGGCTCTGCGGCAGGCGGCGAAGCACTTCTCACTGCAGAAGCTCTTCAGCTCACTGCCCATGCTCAGAGAATAGCGTTTGACGCCGACCTTCTGGCACCAGGCGCACATGATCTGCACATTGGATGCATCTTCATCTAGAAAGAAACAACCAATAGTGGAAGTGAGTTAGGATGGAGAATTTAATGAGGACAAACAGCTATTCTACATTACTACATGATCTCTTTTTAAACCACAGACCGTTATCCTAGTCTTTTATAAAATATTAATAATATTAGCCTATATTTGCTTTAGATTAGACATTGTGACAAATATTGACCTTGTGGTACAACTGTTAAACTTTGTGATCAAAGTAAGTCTGATTAGGATTATAAAACATGCTTTGAAAGGATGCTATTTATTGTATTTAAAGTTAACAGTGATGGTGGAGAATTTCACAAGCATGCAACAACTAGATTTACTAAAGACACAGATCAGAAGGCATAAACTTGACTGATTCAGCCCAGATGCTGAATGGTTAAATCCATTCAAGATTCAAGAAACAAAACCACAGTAGGATTTATACTGAAGCCCTGCCTTGGGTAAATGTAGTAGAACCAGTTGAGCCGGGGACATGGGAAGATGCCTATTTGCGGCTGTGCTCTGTGGCTATTTGAGAACCTGAAGTGGACACAAGGACGTACTCTGATGATGCTGGAGATGACGAGTGTTCACAGAGGAGGCTCTGACAGTGGTTGGGTGTGGTGTCCTTGCTAATGTGCATCCTGTGCGCGTGTATTTACTACACCAGGGTCACAGAGATGTTTTTAATAATTCTCATAATTTGTATAAGCCAACATAAATGTCAGATGGGTGAGGTCTGTTTCACAGAAAATATGAATACATTATTGACAAAACTGGACATAAAATGGAGTTCACATAAAATAGCCAAGACATATTGCAGAGTTAAGGGCTAACCGATGTTAATGATACAATTAACTGCAAGATGACTGTAGACAGTTACTGTGTTAACTGGTCATTTATAGAAAGTAAGTAAATAATAAATGGGAACAGTCATAATATTGCCACTTCCAGGATTTTTGGCATTTATGTTTGAGAGTGTATATTTGTATGTTTATGGGCATTTTTGGCAACAGGGCTCTGGCAGTTAAGGTGGACTGCAGTAGATCAATCAATCAATAAATGGGGTCCGTGTATGAGTATTCTACAATCTGTTTGGGGTTTTTCTTTGTCAAGGTTTTTTTCTCAGGTCCGTTAATCGAAATTCATGACCTCCTCCTAACAAAGACAAAGGGAAGGCATATTATAAATATTTGTGGATTTACAGGTCAAAAAGAGTATTCCTAGATCCCTTGTGTGTCTTAGGATTTATGGTTAGCCCTAACAAAGTTCTGAGTAAATCTACAGTTGACCTAAAACCATCCCTCCTAACTGAAATTAATTTTATCCTCAAAAACATATTTTTTTTAGAGAACCAACAACCTCTAATCCACTGAAATGTACAATAATGGCTTCAAAATGAGTTCCTTGTTTTAACCTTTGATTTTGAGGTATGTAGCTGCATTGTGGTCAGTCTGGGCAACAAATCATTTTAACTGACCCCCTTTAACAGTGAAATGCCTCCTCTATGGTAAACTGTGACTGCTGGCGATGAGCTGCGGGCTTTTAATGCCGTCGCTGTTGCAATGAGAGAGATCCTCTGAGATTCCCTCCTATATCTCCCAATTATCACATTATGACTATGCGGGTGTGAGGGCGAAAAAATGCAGGCCCATTAGTCTTTCACCTCCGCTCACCTCCTTATCACACGCTGGCCGGGCTTTTCACCTCTTGTTGAGCTTAATGGATCTACAGGGCCATCAGATTTTAAATAAGACTAACTCACAATTAAGGGAATAACTCCCCGGGGCCCTAAAGATAGCACGGTGGACCCAACATGCATATTTTATGTCTTTCCTCACCTCTGTGCTCTATCTCCTTCCTATAGTCTCTCTGCTTTTTTGTGTCTATCTGGATTGCTGCCCACTGCAGTGATAACAGAATAACAAGACATAGTTTCATTCTAAGCTGACTGGGTGGGTGGGACATGGTTTGTACATTGCTTGGAATAATGTATGTACCACAGCGTAATGAACAGGATCGAAGGCCGACATGAAATGACAACGTTTTTCACAATGTCTCAACATTTTCATACAAAGAGACATCTTGAGGTGGAGTTGTTTTTCCCTTCCCACATCCTGGCACCTCATAACAAGCCCATCTCAAAACACTCACATCTGCACGAGGGGGGGAAAAAACCCTCAGTAATGATGCAGCCTCCGTAATAAATGCCACCATCATCCGCCGTACCTGCACCTCAAAAGGTCCTTTGTTGGATTTTGCGGGGCACATGAATAATTCAGCATATGTGTGAGGGTGGGGTTGGGGGCGAGTTGAGGGGGTGTCAGCCGGGTGGTGGGTTGGTGCTGGGCTTTAAGTGGGACCACACCATCTGTTTCCCCGCCTAGGCAGGGCCAGCGGGGACTCCTCTTGGGTGATGCCAAGGCGGCTCGCTCCCTCCGCCGGGGCGTACCAACCTCCTGTGCCACAGCAGACATAAGGGATAATGAAGCCCTCTGTCTGGCCGAGGAACGCGGACATTTCCTCAGAGAGTTGATGGGGTTATATTGACACTTGGGCAGGTGGAGATAAACAAGGTGTACAGCAGGTAGCTGGCTCATTAGTCGCCTGTCCCTGCCTGGTTTGGACGCTTTCAGGCCATTGCAAAGACAGAAAGTTTTCACGTTGCATAAACATTTCATTTTCCTGCTAAGTGCTGGAGAATCAGCAAGTAGGTTTATACTTTCAGTACAATGTAATCTGTCTGTAGAACAGCTGTGGATGAAATCTATGGCAGTTCTTCTGATTGTGTGTTCTGACTGTGTTTTTGAAGAAATGTGTGTGCACAATTTGGGGCAATCTGCGATGGGCTGAAAATTACCTTGATCTTCTTGGGAATTTAAAATATAGCCTTGTACCCAGTAAGCATAAAACCGTTGAGATTTTATGTACCAGCTCTGCTACTGATACTTTTGCTGGCATGTTTAAGTGTTTTCTGTATAATCCTACACTACTTTCCAATTCATAATTACTAAACAATTATAAGTACTGTTTGTGTCTTTCCAAAAAGGTGTCAGTGCTCCCTACCTGCAGGGGGCTTGATCAGTGGCGGGGGGATCATGGGGACTATGATGGGCAGGCTGCCATGTTCCTTGGTGCTGGGTGTGGAGGTGGACGGTGTGGTGGAGGACTCCGTGACTCCGTTCCTTGAGGCTGGCAAAGACTGGGAGCTGTTGTCTCGATCCGGAGAGCCTTTGCCACTCTCTGTTGAAGCTGGGATTTTTGGCAACAAGTTTTCTAGAAATTGAGGGGAAATTCACCAAAATAAAACAAGACGAAATTAGACGCTATAGCACTACCTTAACTCAGAAGCACGTCTGCCTTTTAAGGTGGGGTTGGAAAAGTTTATGTTTAAAGCCCCAAATGTTTTTGGGACTAAATAAGCCACAATGAAGCTTAAAGCTGCACTTTCCAATATTCTCATATTAGCAGTGAATTAAATGGCCAAATATAATGTGGATTATATTGACAAACCCACACATCTTCTAAGACTTCCCCTCAGCTCTAAACAGCGTTTTAACATCTCATTGTTTTGGTTTTCCCGCCCACAACTTTACTATTTTGGTTCAGTCTCACCGCTCACGTCAGCCTCGTTCTAGTAACAGAAGGCAGCTGTTTTCAGCAACAACAAATACACATGAAGCCACTGGCTGGTGAACATAGTAGAGCATTTCAGATATTTTGCTCAGGAGTTGCGGAGAGTGAAAGGAAAGTGAATGTAAGGCTTATTATGTCAGGTGGACACAAGTACAACACCGAATGAATGGTTATGTCGCTCTGTGTCTCCTGGATGAGTTTAGGCAACTGTTTGCGAACAAAGCTCAACATTTTGACTTGGCCAAAAGATCAATGAACACAGATTTAGATTACTTAGAATTTGTTTGTTTTAGTTTAGTAACACTCAAAAAGCCAGTGGGTGTGGCGATGGAGGAAGCTTCCCTTAAGACTGACAGTGCTGGTAACATAAGCAAACATCTGTTGTCACATTTGTATTCATACATAGCAAAACTCTGATTGTGGCATGCATCTATGTGATCACAACTTTCCAACACAGTCCTGTCCACTTTAAACCAGTGAGAAAAGAAAAGGAAAAAACTAAAACTTTAAAACCTTGGCAGAAAATAGTGTGTTCATGTAGGACCCCATCACCAAGAAGCCTTCAACAAAATGACACAGGTGTCATGTTCAACATTCATGCAACATGCATCAGCCATGTTTCATGATCCATTGACGAGCACTTAGTGTTTTCACTTTTTATGCAACACATGATCTCGTCTCTCTGACTGACAAGCAAAAAATGCATGTATTTTTTATTTTGCTAAAACACCACTGTATTGTATTGTATGTTAGAGTTCCATACCTTTGAGGACAGAGATGTGTTGTGGCGTCTCCCCTATCTCCAGGTGGTCAGAGTCTCTCAGCTCCACCTTGTCATAGCCGTACCAGCCCAACAGTTCGTTCATGGTGTTCTCTGCGAAACTCTGCAACACAAACAGTTGGCTGGTGAGACTCAAGACAAAGAGAAAAAAAAAAGAAATCTCTCTGACTAAACGTGGCCCTGAATTGATGTAAACAATATCTTACTTTAGTTGTAATTATTCCGATACACGCTGCTACACTACTGATAAGCAGTGATATAGTAAATAAATAGTAGCAAAATAAAGGTGAATATTTTTTTTAACATCTGGAAAACGTGAGATTTGAGGTCACTTGTTATAAAAGCTAATGCAACAGTCTGCTAACTTTGTTGCATTTGCCTCTCCTGAGACCTTGACTTTAGCTCCTTAGATTTGTCCACAATACCACATTTCTTCAACTAATTAGACAGACATATTGCGATCCCACTCCCACCCCCGAATTTAAAGCCGTGCCCTGAGAAAACCACAATGTAGGTTTTCCCCCCAGGGTCTTCTTTATAAATACAGGTCAACCTAATTGGGGCTAACTCTGTCTGCATCCAAAAATGGCACAGAGGTTAAATGGACCAGAGGGACTTCATGGGGCCGAAGCTGTGGAACCCAACAACAACATGCCAAAGATTACACACTTTTGTGCCAGGGCTGGATTGTTGTTGAGCTATATTATACTATTGTTTAGTGGGAACAGGGATATTCTATTTATTTATAATGAATGATTTTTGTTTTATGGTATTAGTTATCTTCATAGTTATCATTCTCAGTGGGCTTTAACCCCCAACAAAAGCCAACTTTAAGGGCAGTATGTTAAAGCTCCTTAACCTACAGTAGTTTTGTTTCCCCTTAAGTAGCTTTAACGTTGTGCAGCATACGTTTGTAATGAGTGACCCAGCGTTAAGCCACTGATATTTGCAGGAATAGTGCAGAATTTTGGGAAATACGCTTAGTTGCTTTCAGGCAGAGAGTGTGATGATCAGTACCACCCATTGCTCAACATCACTCTCATATCTGTACCTTAATTATAAACCTACAGCCAGCAGCCCATCAGCTTAGCTGGAAGCAGAGGAAACAGGTAACCTGGCTCTGCGTACTTCCCAAAACGCTGAAATATTCCTGTAAGTGGTTTTCAAACATTAAATAGTAACATTTTAAATACGTATTTTGTAATTATGTAAACTTTATTTATAAAGCACCTTTAGAAAACCAGAATTACAGTGCAAACATCGAAGAAAAAGATACAGGAATCAACAAGAAATAACAAAGAACAACAAAACCTATTAAACTACATGGAAGGCAAACACACCCTAGAGGATAAAGTGCTTTTGGAAAAGGTGAGTTTTTAACAGCTTCTTTAAACATTTGACTGACTCTGCTAGGAGAACTAGGGGAAGACGATTGCAGAGGTTGGGAGCCACAACTGCAAAAGCTCGGCCACCTTTGGTTTTGAGCCTGGACTTCAGGACAGCCAGAAGGCCTTGATCAGTAGACCTCAGTGATCTCACCATGGCTAGGGGACACAATAATTCAGGAATATAAAGTCATGCCAGCCCATGTAGTGCTTTAAAAGAATCTTAAAATAATTTCTGCATTCTATGGGTAACCAATGTAGACTGGCCAACACTGACATACTCTATGACCTACGTCATGTATTAGTTAAAAGTTGAGCTGAGACACAGAAGCTGGCTCAGGCTGGTGAACAGTGACTTAAAATAACCAAGACAGAAGGAAACAAAGACTTGAATGATTTTTTGCAGATCTTGGAAGGATATTAGTACAGTTTTGATATTGGCAATATTTCTTAGAACCAGTATTGGACCCCTTTTTTGTGCCACTCAAAGTTCATATGGTTAAAGAAAACTCATTAACACTACAAGACTAAAAACAAGAGCCAACAACTGAATAACTAATTACAAAACAGTAAAAACTAATAGTCACATAGAATCACAGCTGTCACTGAGCAGTAACGCTTCACAGCTAAGAAAATAGCATAGCCCAGTTAAGAGACATGTCACGTCTTTTGAGTGCCACTCAAGTTGCTTTGAGATAGGCAGTAAAGTCCCAACATTCTCCAGCAGCACAGTAATGCAGAGTGCAAGGCAGATAGTTAGTGGAGGTAAGCTAAAAGAAATAAAACTCAATGCAGGTGAAACATTAATGTATTTCCTCCATAACAGCCTCTCACTACTCAGTCAATAAACACTGTGCTCAAAACAAAACCATAACCCTGCTAATGCACACAGCCCATTATCACCATACACCTCTCAGCTGGAATATTCCCAGAAGCGTCTATTCACTGAACCCTAAACCATGGTGAATGCTCCAGCTATCATTTGACTCTAAAACACAGGTGAAAATGTTCTTTCTGAAAACAAACTACAGCAGCAACGGAGGATGAATCCGCTGTAATTATTTGGTCTGTGTGATAAAATATCAGCCACAGGTGACTTAACTATCAGCTTAGAGGGAACACTGCTCCCCGGTGCAGTAAGTAATGTTTTCCACATATTGCTGCTTTTCTTATAACAATTAACACACCGAGCTCAGATTTTTACCAATTTAGCGTTAAGTATGGGACCGGCCTGTTAATTAGCGCACAACAGCTTGTAAAATCATATTACAGGCTTGCAAGGACAAACCCGCTCCCCATGCAGCAACATAGTGTACAGTATGTTGCCACGGAGATGACCCGCCTTGTCTTGGCATTTGTGGGCTTGCTCCAAATTGACAAGACACTAGTCAGTTCATTATTTTATGGCGAGTCCCATTTTCCTCTGTACATCATCTTATTATGGCAGCAGCCGTTTCTCGTCAGTCACTACATCAAGCAGTCAGATGTCAATTACAAACAACTCCTGTCGATATGAGAGAGCTGAAGTGATCATGTCGGAGTGGTTCAGTGCCACCCAGCACATCTTTTGATTGTGGCCTAGCCTGAACTATGTCCTCTCCTCTCTCACATATTTCCTTCCTGCCTCCACTGTAGATTCTTGGTGAAGCACAGACGTTAGTGAATCAGCCTGTCGCCTGTTCATTTGTAAAATAGAAATGCCCCCAATCACATGTAAAAGATAACTGCTATCTCAGAGGGATGTCAGATTTGACAGAAAGGAAGTTGGAAGACATGGCACACTCATAGACTCATCATCCATATAACTTGAAAGGTGCAGTGGGGAACTTCGTACGCTGGCAGCGCAAGTATGACAAACTAGACGTGAAGTGACTTCAGCACATTGCGCACAGCAAGTTCATGTCTATCGACCAGGCCTATGATGTGTCATATCAAGTGGATAAGAGAGAGAGAAAAGTTGTAACTTGTTTGTGTGTGTTTTCACTCACTACTGAAGGCAGGTCTGAGGTATTGATTTGCGATTTCCTGTGGGTGGCAAAGTGACCGTATCTGAAACCAGAATTTAATTTGGGCAAATGGAGTGACACTACAAGGACTCAGGTATGGTGTATTTTCCTCAAAACAATACCTTATGAAATAAAAGAAGTAAGGACATAATAGCTCATCATACATGCTGTCACAGCGTGGCCTGGTGGACAACCAGCACGGAGCCAGTCTGAGTCCACAGCCTGCAGACATCGGGTTGGTCCACTGACTCAATTATTTGATACAAATTCAATTAACAGAGCACCAACACAAAGCGCAGTTTGGCTATTGCTTACAGTGGTATTATAGTAAGGGAGATACAAGTGGGAATGAGCTTTCACACACACACCAACACACACACTTGCTTGGACTGAGGGAAAAGTATCTCTTTGCATATCTGAGACACTGTGGCACAGTATAAGAGTGACCGAGGCAGATTTTCTCCTGCCTCATCAGCATATTCACTCTGTTTCTAAGCATTTTAGAGGGAAATTCATGATGTGTTGTATTTGTATCTCAGAGTAGTAGCACCTCTCTAGGATCAGTTTTACTTCTGTTTTGCTTTGTCCATACAGAGAATATAGTTTCTGCTATTCTGTGCATACGTCAATTTGCCACACTTAAAGGAAGGACTTACTCTAAATGCTGGGATGGCATTATTAATGAAGAATGACTGGAGTTATTGATCTGCCTGTTGTGAAATACCCCGTGTAGACATGTCACAAAGGTGCAAGGCACCGTTCAAGTCAATGACAGGTGAAGTCAAAGGACCATGCATGCAAGAACTGAACCGGGACATTTCAGCAGAGGATACACTGTGTCAGAATCAAACAGTGATTATTTACAGTAGTTAAGTAGTTAGTAAGTGTAATCAAAACAAAAAATCTCAGTATTTTTTTGTCAGTGAGGTTTTTAAAAATGGTAGTGGAAAAAAGTGAAGGCTGTTAATGAGGACAGCTTGTGTTTGCAAATGTAACAACACTTTTGAACAATGATGAGTGACAGCAGAGCTCACTCTGCCTGAAGGTTCCTGGAAGTCACATTTAGTACCACTTCCTGAGCACAGCTAAAGTTATATTCAGAATGCTATAAACACAGCCATGTTTTTGCCCATGGTGACCCCCGGTGAACATGTTTTCATGGCATTTTGCGCCACCTTGAGTTTGAACTGAAATGGCCAATAAATGTGTTAATTTAAACTGTGGGTTCAGTTCATTTCCTTTCCTATCTGTGTGGCGTTTGCATTCACCAGAGCGTCCTTTCAAATTTAACATACATGATAGTAAATATTCCACTGGTGTCAATTCAAGTGGCCTGTATATTCCAAGTTTTTTAACACATGGGATAATTCTTGAAATAATTATTAATATTAATTAGGTAAAGAAAATGCATGATATCTAAACTGTGAAGCAGACAATTCTCTAGATTTAATATGTATGTCTAATGTATGTTCCTGGGCAATATTAAATTAAATTAACAATTAGCCAAAAAGTGACAGTGTTCTGCAAACATTGGCAAGCAAAACTGCAGCAATTAGCCCAACTGCAGGGATGAAACCTTGAGAAGAAAACATCTTCAAGGAGAAAATCCTCCTTTTGAACAAATGAGTTGGAGCATAACCCAACCTGACTGTACTCTTGAGTAAAACGGATGTAGCTGTAAAATAACCACATCACGGAGACAAAAACACATC